TTTTCTGGAGGTTTTCCGAGACTGTCGAAAAAATCAGCCTCCGAGGAACTGTGTATAACTAGTAGACTAATTGTTCTCGAACAATTAGAGGTCTTTCCACCTTCTTTAAATTTCATATATTTTTCATATTTTACTCTCTAAAGTTAATTTTTATACAAAAAGAATCCATAAATGGCTTGAAAGATAGAAAAAATGAAAAATTTAAATTTTTTGAAATAACTTTGACCTTTGACCTTGAACAAATATTCAAGGTCAAAGGTCACATTGCACTTGACCCCATGCTTCTACGACCGTTAGTTTTAAAGTTATAAGGTTTAATAGTAAGTGTAACGACGTTAAAGGGCGATAACTCATATAAGGGGTCATTGGATACTTTCGCACTGATAGATTGAAGTTGTGTCTAAAGACCCTGAAGACATTAGTGAAGGTTTTGAGCCTCTATGGTTTACGGTTTCGGAGGAGTAGCGTTAACAAGGTTTTCAGTAAAAGGGGCAATAACTTTTAAAGGGGTAAATCTTAGGGGACAAGTATGAAATCTTTGAAATAGTTTTAAAAGGACATATTAATGATGCAAATATATTTAGTATATTTTGAAAGACAAAAGAGATATAAAACAGCTGAATTTCTCAAATTTTGAATGACCTTGACCTTTGCATATATTTTAAGGTCAAAGGTCAATGAATCTTATGCAGTTGGTCCTATGTCTATACGACTTATCGTTTTGAAAATTTTTAATTATTCGTAAACATCAAAAACTTTCAGGGGCAATAACTCGTAAAAGGGGTTGACGAATTCTTTCGCAATGAAAAGATTGAAGAGTCCCCTCAATTAGTCGAAGACATTGGTGCAGGTTCCATACCTCTACGGTTTACGGTTTCAAAGGAGTAGCGATAACAAGCTATACTTGCAAAAGGGGCGATAACTTCGTAAGAGGTCATAGGTCAAACACGGGGGTCGTTTTTCGGAATAACTTTTGATATCCAGTATCATGAACTATAAAGTTTTTCGATAAGTCTTGCAGTTTCAAAAGTCCGGGAAGAAAAATAATAATAATAATAATAAACATAAGCATTTCAAGAGGTCTTTCCACAGAAAGGTGGAAAGACCTAATTACAGCGACCTAGTGTTCTCCTGGAAATGGTAAAGGTTGAGTATTGATGATGAAGGCACTTGGGTAAAACGGCACGACTTCCGGTAAGGTATTACTGGCAAATACTCCTTTAGCAAATCTTTTTAGGTTAGGTTCATTGTTCACGAAATTGAGGAGCTGTGTTGAATTCAAGGTTGAATGTAATTGATGTCCCGGGACTTGTCCACTTCAAGTAGAGAGGAAAAGGTCGCAAACACCAAAACGTTGGCAGCTTTTGTTGTTGCTTGCTTGAACTTTAGTTCGAATCTGGTGTTTCCTCTTCGAATCAGGTTTAAATATTCTTCACCAAAACCACAGGGATCTATGGTAAAGACGAACAGAGAATATCCACTTCCAAAGTTGTCTCTGGTGATTAATAGACCTGCGTCTTGATTCCATTTTCCAGAAGCCTCAAACAGTCGAGCATATGCTGAAGAATAATGTCCTGTCGTGAAATCGGTTTTTAAGTGTCTGCCTGGGACGCTTTCTCCATTTACGCATATCCCTACATCTGTTAAACCAAAATGCTCGAAATTAAACGGATTAGTTGTGTAATCCCCATTCACACTTTTCTGATCTACCAGACCCACAACGATACGGTCGGGCACTGCCTGAGGAAAAATATTGTCCCAGTAAAATTCGGTAGATCCTTTAGGAATGGTGTTCATTTTCAATTCATTTCTTGAAATGGTGTATTTCACAGGGGTAGATTCTATTTGCTTGCTGTGGTTCAGCAAAACACCAGGATCTACTCGAACTTTGGCCACTTTGTACACGACATCCAGCAATTGTAGTTTGTACGCCGGAGTGCTCTGTCCTGACATCAGTACAAAAGGTGCACTAGATCTAAAAAGCTTAATGTAGATATCTACGCCGTTTATCAGGTATTTGTCGATGTCAAAAATGTCCTCCATCAGGTTACCCTCCAGTTCAAAAACCTTACTCTCCTGTGTATAACCATAGCGCAAGACTAGTCCAGAATTGCCACCATTGTAGGCGTTAGCGTCACCCAAGTTTCCTTCGTCCTTAAAAAACAACTGGGACTGCTTCTGGGAAGATAATTCCTCTTTTCCACCAAACAAGACTGTTTTTAGGTATGCCTTCCAAGGGTAATTATTCGTATTGAAGGAAACCAATTTGTCATCTAAGTAGACATCCATCTGAGAAAACATGCTTTGCAATGGTAGATTGATAATTCCAGTCTTTTCGTTGGCCGCTAATGAGGAACCATCTGTTTTCAAAATTCTGGCTTTCACATACAATCGACTTCTTTTTAAATCGATATATTCGGCTCCCGATCCAGATACGACGATTTCTATGAGAGTATCTGATACTCCAATACTGGAAATCGGTCTGGCTTCCGTAAAATACACTTTTTCGACTGCTACCTGATTAGTGGGTGAAGCAAAGAGTGAAAGTTCCATTGGTTGGGCTATGTCTTTATCATCACGGCTTAGGAAGGCCATCTTTACTGCTCGAAAGCGTTCTTGTATCTATCAATCTTAAAGAGTTTTTTGGGCTTTTGTGATGTCCGTTTAACCACGGGTGTATGACGCTTTTTAGATCTTCCGTTTGTTTTCTTTCTGGAGACTGATGTTTTCTTCACAAGTTTGGTTTTCTTGCTCTTTCGCGATGTTACCGTCTTCAATTTTTTGGTAGAAATAAAGGAGGGGTGTTGTGATGGTCTTTTTATACCCCTGGTGACCTTGATTAAGGGGCGCCTGCTTTTATGTCTTTTGCATGTTCCGTTTTTGCTCTCTCTTCCACGGCAGCCACGAGTGTCACTTGGGGAATAGGGTTTACGGATTCTAACTGTGAATGAGGTCTACTTGTGTCCTTTCCACAGTAATAGGAATTACGTAAGATCTTCGTTTTCTCACACCCCTTCCAATTTGTTAGGGTCTATATTTATATGGGCTGAACTTTTTCTCAGCCATGTTTTTGTAAAAAGCTTCCCAGATTTTAGGGTCGCTGATGTACGTCTGACTATTCATCATAAAACGTAAGGAAACTTCTTAAAGTGAAGTGTAACGCTCACCGGTCCGTCTAGGAATGACACCAAGTTGCCTGCTCTGTCCGTTATATATATACAGATCTGTTGTAATTGTCCAGTCTTTACGGGAAGGTAATAAGGTAACGTATAGATAATGTTGTTCTCCTGTTTTTCTCCAAGAACAACTCGCCGTAAGAGGGGTATGTCCTTTCCGCCAACAATTGTTTCCTCACATATGTCACAGCATATATACACCTCGGGAGTTTTCTTGGTTGGATCCCAGCTCTCTGCAGTAAATTCTGTTAAAGCAACTGTCCAGTATCCATCCAATAGAATTTGTTTATTCAACTGAACTCGAAAACAATTGGGTTTATTGTCAAAATATTCTGAGCTGTCTGTAGACCTCAACACCATTCGAAGGCTCATCTTGACTGATGATGATTCGTGGAAGAAAACTGTTTTTATTTGGTGTTTTCTAGGGAATTTTCGGGAATCCACGAATTGAATTTAGTGGGCATCCGTCCCACTTTACGTACACTTCCTTTGTGTTACCACGCTTTCTCTTTCTCAAGACTTTTTCCACTCTATACAGTATATCCCCCGACTTCATGACTTTTTGAAGTTACGATTCATAAAAAGTGCCTTCTATTGGATCATCGGCTAAATCCTTTATTTTATACACAGGTATATCAGCTCTCTTGTAGCGATTAGACACTTTAAAATACTCTTCAGTCCATTTTTGCTGGTAGTCTCTTTGAAATGGATGTTTTAGCTGTGAAATACGTACGTCATCTCCTACTTTGTACTTATAAAAATTGGTTTAGCCCGTTTCTTTTTACCTAACGATTTATTTGGTTTTCCCAACTTGCTTTTGCTCACAGGATTCTTTTTCTTGGTACTGAGATAGGAAATGAGTCTCACTTCATCTGCATTTTCCTTGGTGACAGTAACAGGTGCTTGCTCTTCTAGAGATCTGTGAGGTCTCTGGTTATAACTAGTAACTAAATCTTGTAAGACATCAACATAACGGTATGTATTATTTTTCAGAAAATAACGATACATCAGATTTTTCATGGTACGAATAACTCTTTCGGCATAGTTTGCTTTAGTTTCATTTTGGGTGTATATGACATGGACACCCTTCTTTTTTAAAAACGCTTTTACCCAGCGATTTTTAAATTCGCTCCCTTTATCTGTTCTGAGCGTTTGAGGTTTTCGTCCTGTGTGAAAACTGATTTTAGACCTTCTGTGATATTTTGGTGTTGCTTATTTTTCAAAGGTACTATAAATAAAAAGCGACTGAATATATCTATTAGCACTAACAAAAATTTATAACCATCGTTTTCGGAAGAAATATTGCTGACATCTGCTAAATCAGCGTCCCACATGGAGTCAATGGTGTTCACAACAACCTTTGAGCGCGGAAATGAACGACGGATAGGTTTCATCAAACTGTAAAGATCTTCGTTGTTCAAAAATTGCCTGATTCTAATTCTTCCTATTTTATACTTTCCATCTTGTTTTACGGCTTGGTAGAGTTTTTCAGGACCTCCAAACGCCCCTGGATTTCCGGGGGTATAGTAGAGTTCTTTCAGATAGTCTGTATACTTTGACATCCTGTACCTGACTGATCAGTGCTTCTTGTCTGTCTTGCATTATGTACAAAATTAATCGTAAGTCATTTGTTTTGTACTTATATTATTTTATTATAAATATCATGATGCAATTGAACATTAAAAGGTTTTTTCATTAAAAGTTTTTTTTTTACATGTACAAACCGCCGAAATATGGCTGAAATATTGCCGATCCGGCGTTAAACAAGAACAATCAATCAATCAATCAATCATATGTACAAAATAATTTTGATCACAATTACTGTTATTCAATGTCACTTTTGATTGTCTGCAAGTCTTGTGAGGCGCCGGCATTACATTTCAGGGACACATCTTCCTTAGGTTCATATCCAAATGGAGTACACTCTGGGCAACTCAACATTCCAAGTTGATTTTGATGGGATTCACTGAATGCACATAGGTCTATGTCATTTAATTCGGGAACACATTCTCGCACTTCCTTAACGGCCTGCAGTAATCTGGTCAGTTTATGGTTGTTCAGAGTCACACCCTTCCGTGTTGGAACAGGTTCCGGGGCGTCATCTGGCTTCCAAAAGTGTCTTATGTCCACCGTAGAATAGCCGGGAGTGTTGGAGACGTACACCCCACCTCCAATATGCCATTTCATTTCTTCATTCGATCTCTTTTGCAGATAATTTTGGATATCAGGCAGAATGGATTCAAACATCAGCCATCTGGATAACGGAAATGTTACTCCCTTTGTCGGAATCATACCATTGTTGGTCGATGTAAAGTGACGAATGTGTATATTGATCTTGTCTTTGAAAGACACAGCTGTGAGGAAAATTTCGTTGAAATCATCCAGACTGATGCTGCGTCGCACGTTTTGAGACAGTTGTCGTTCTACAGGATCCCTTTTTGGTTTGTTTTCAAAATATCGTTTTTCAGCCGTGTTCACAAGTAAGGATCTGGCCATGGTTAACCTTTTTTCGTACTCGGACATGGCATCTTCACCGGCAGAGAGGAGCTTGGATAACTCAGTTTGGTTGGATTTCATCAGAGCCATTCGAAGACCCCTGAAAGCTTTTGGTCCACCACGGAGAATTATATGTAGTAGTTTTCTGTTTCTGTCGTAACTGGATTTTTCTGCTTCAATTTGTTGTCTCATTTCATCTGTTATAATGTTAGAGAAAAGGAGATGCCCGACAACCGAAGAGGTCGTCATTTTCTTAACCAGAGTGGTGTAGTTCACTTTAATAAGGTCCTGATGTTTTTGCTCCCTATCGGCTAAAAGGTTGTTGCGTCTTGTAAGATCAACTCACATCTGATGAAAAATGTTTGTATCCACCAAGTTTTTATAACAATTTATCACGTGGGTTGATGACCTTAGACATTTTCATCAAGTTTGTAGTTCTTTTAAAAATGTGACCGCAGAATTGTCCATTTAATATGTAATAGCATCATCCTGACCTTAGACTGAATTGACCGTAGCCATATACAGTATTAACCGAATTTTTATTTCATTGTTTTTTGTGATAAAAGACAAGGGTTTTTGGTGATAAAGGCAAGAGTTTTTGATAATACGTTAAGAATAGTTTCTACAGTATTCAACACTCCCCTCAGCACATAAAGGGTATTGGGTCGACGTACAGTTTCTGTTTTATGAACAAGACGATGAAGCTTGTTGTCCATTTCTTCTGTCAGCCACCTAAATCTTTCCAATAAATTGCCAAGTTTTTTCCAGTCCTTTTCACTCACTTTCGCATTTCTTCTTTTCATAAATTTGACCTGTGCTTTGATAGCGAGTACCATTTTAACACATTTCATGAGACATGAAATGTGTATCAAGATGTCATCTTTCCGTTTGGTTAAGACATGCAAAATATGTTCCAACATTCTGGTCCATTGAAATTTTACTCTCCTTAATTCCCTCTCCATTGTCAGTTCACTCCTTTTTACTTCGTAGGAAGAATGATTCAGTTTGCTAGATACACCAGTTTACATCGATCATGTCACTTTGAGAGAATTGATGACAACATAATTTCAGTTTGCTCAATTCTCCTTTTGAAATGAGCTCTATCTATGGCATACTGCATCCACACTCCTTTCCTTTCTTCGTATGGTATCAATATTGTTTGTACGTGATTGTCAAAACGAACTTTCTTCTGTATTTTATCCATATTTAACACACACTATTTTGTTTATTTAATTGACTACCAACAGTACTTTTTAGGCATAACTCGCCGTTTTAGTAGGTACTCCTCGGATCCCCAACAGTCTGCGACATCGTATCCTTCTTTCATTTTTTCTCTATAATCAGCAATACACTCTTTCTTTTTATCAAACCATCGACTCTCTAAAAGTGTCCATTTCTTCTTATCTCTTCCCAAAGAGTTCCATGCTAGTACTTTCCACTTGTACTGTGTAACATGACCATCCATGGTTAGAGCTTAGTGTGTATGAGCGATATTTAAAAAAAATGAAAATTTATATATATATACCCTGCTGAATGACCTCAGACGGACCCAATGTTGTGATGACCCCAGACGGGTTCATGCTTTGAGGGTGACCCCAGACGGACCCACGACGTCATTGACCCCAAATAGACCCCAGACTACCCCCCTTACTATTTTTTTTCAAATCTACTCCTTTTTCGCATTTTTATGAAAGACTGGATTTATCACTTATTTCCAAAATAATTTTATTTTGTGTTCTGCGTGCAGGGCAAGTATCTCTGGTGAGATAAAGAGGACGGAGGGTTATCTTGCTATTTTTAATGTTTTCATAATTTATTTTGTACTTCAACTCTCATGGTTGTTTAGACTTTGGTAGTTTTCTCTGTGGCTGACTATCTCGTCGGCATTGAATAATGTCACACAACGACTTGTACAGCACATGATGCCAAGCACCATGTCAACCGGGAGAAAATTCCTCTTCCTGTTCTCTATCAAAGTAAAGAATACCTTTTTTTTGTTGCAGCAGAAAATTCGATTTAACTTTCAAGAAAAAAAAACAGTAAACAAATAAAAACAAACCCTGATTGGCTGAATCGCCGAGTTCATCAGCAGGTTCGTACTCCTCCTCGGAAAACTGCCGCTTTGATCCTGATGGCCGACCTCTTTTTCCTATGATGTATAAAAATCTTCGTAAATATGAATATTAAAACGCCATTATCAATATGAAGTATCGATTTTCTTAACGTTACAAGATATGATTGTGAAACATTGATACCCCGTTTAGGCAGGGCAAAATCTATATATCCCTGAATCTTCGATTACATGGGCATAAAAATAAAATGATAAACAAATTGTCAATACTTCGATGAGCTATGACTTCTTCCTCTTCTTCTTCTGTCATTTCATCTTAACTTGACCAATCTGAAACCGAACTTCTTGAAATACACTGATTTCTCGATTCATTAATTTAACAGTCAATTAATCGATTCATTTTTGTTCTCATTCACTTAATCTGAATCAGTAAAACAGCGTGTTATCTTGACAAAAAGATACCTTGCACTAAGAAAATAACATTTAAAAAACTTGAGGTTCCTGTATCATAGTCGCTCATTTCCATGTGTTGTCCATGTCCTAATGATAGGAAATATATATATTTTTTAACATATTCTGAAAGCAATTAATTATTTCAAGTAACATCACATCACATCAAAAAATTCCGTTTTGAATTTAAAAAAAAATTGTTCCACGCACTTCGGGACTCGAACCCCGTTCGCTTTATCAGCGGGCAAACGCTCTACATTGGAGCTACATCACCACTATAACAGGAAGGATGTATAAGGTTTACAGTATTTACTGCTTAGGCAGGAGCATGCGTATAACAAACTTTTTTCCAGAAGTTGTAAACAGCGCTTAATATAAATCGTTTATAATTAAACGAAGCTTTCCTGGATGACAATGAACTCTAAATTCAGTAAAAAAACTTTAAGATATACTTTAATTGAAATGTGAAGCATAATATCCCAAAAAACTAGATATAATTGCTTCCATATACCAAAATATGCGCGGATAGAGAGAGTGAGAGAGAGTATGTGTGTGTGTATGAGGGAGAGAGTGTGTATGCATGTTTACATGTGAGTGAGTGTGTGTAAGGGAGGTTGTGTGTGAGCGAGCGGGTGTGGGTGAGAGAGAGAGAGAGACCCGCGTTTACCAACTTCTGGGAAACACACTTGAAAAAGGACCTTTCTTATGTGGAAAGTTAAGAATTGTGGGGAAATCTCTCGTTCCCTACAAATATGGTTGTGGGGGTTTTTGATTTCTGTGAGACCTACTGATAAAAATTAGTTGATTGCTTTTCGTTTTTCAAAAACCCCCCACTAGTGCACAATATTGTCCACAGTATGTTTTATCTCCTCACCGTAAAATGAGCATCTGGGGATGCTGGGAAATTTTACATTCGGGACGCGGCGGCAATATTAAACTGGTCCCCTACATGTGTCTCGGTTAACGCGGCTGACAATGGTTTTCCTGGGATAAAGTCGTGCTGTCCAAGGGGGGGGGGGGGGGGTAAGGACTCGGGTTTCACAATTTTAGACATGCTACTTTCAAAAGACAAAGGTGTCGACTTTGAACGAAAGCTTAAAAGAAACTATTCCCCCTAGAACTAATGTTATGAGAAAAAAATGGTGGACTTTTTGGTTAACCTATAGGGTTATATAAATAACATGTTTTGTAAATTGCTGTAATATATGCTAGAAGATAGGCCTGGCTAAACTATGTACCATGATGATAGGGTTAAAACCTACAGAATTCTATTATGAATTGCTACGAACTTGAATCAACAGTAACGTAGCACTTAAACGCACGTGTATTTTAAAATGGGTCGATACGTAGGAATTAAGGAATACAATGACAAACTAGACGAGCTTTTTGCATAGCAACAAATAAGTCTTCCATCTAAATTTCAAGGAGATGAGATTGAGATCGAGAGACTTGTACGGTCATATGTGCAAAAATGAGCCATTTACCATTACTCTCGGTGTTACCGGAAGTGACGCCATTTGACGACTTTTAATGGTCTCCTTAGCTGCTACTTGTCATTTTGAACAACTTTGCTTCTATGAAGCTATACAAATTCTCAATACATGATTCATAAATGATTGTGTTCTTTTGTAATAGATGCTGTTAAATACATCATTTTCATAGGACGTTTCAATGTGTTGATATTAATTTTGGAATTACTACAGTAGATGGGCAATTTTTTTACGGAACAGTGGGAGCAATATACTTAACCAAATATCGACTGCAGTTTGTTTTCAATAGCCATGAGAGGGTCCATGTCTAAAACTTAAATGAAAGTACGACATCTGACTGAGTAATACACATTTCTTTGGTCTAATTAAAGGAAAAAGTTGAGCATCAAATGCAACATGTGCTTCTGCTATTACAAGTTACCAGAGACATTTATGCATCATCTTCAGTATCGAAAAAGTCAATAAGATGAATGTGATGAGGATGCCGTCTTATATCGAGATTCACGTACCAATTCAAGCTGGTGATAGGTCAGAGGACAAGCTTGTTCTATTACGGATTGACCATTTAGGTTGCAATTGAGTCTCTGAGGCCTGGCGAAGAATTGAATAACCAGGTGAAACTTTTAATTTATGTATTACTAGATGAAATCCCGCGCAAGCGCGGGGAATTGAATTTATACCACTAACGACAGAAAATATATAACTGTAGTTTCTACTGACAGCCTACAGGTTTATAGCAGGAAGAAATACTTTGTTCAATGATGAATGTCTCCACCCCCCCCCCCCCCACCCCCTTCTTTCTGTAAAAACTTGAAAAATAACAATTTCGTTAATTGGCGTTCATTGTGAAATCTGTTATACTATGTTATGGATATTGTACTTCAGATGCTCTTATTTCATTTCCGTCAAGGATAAAAGCAGCTAATATGCACATTTTACTGATAAAATGCATTATTTTTTTTTTCGGGGGGGGGGGGGGGATTCACAAAAATTAGTTTTTAACGCCCTATAAATAGGCCGAGTATTTAATACAAAAGACTGTATTCAGAAAAAAAAACCCTGAAATATATTGATTAAAGCACAACATTTTACACAGCTTTAATTGTATTTGAACAATACCTTATTCATTAATTTTCTCTTTTCATGTTAGCAAGTTTATTACGAAGTACAAATTGTACTTCGGGTTCGTTGCCACGTTGCTCTCAGTAAGGAATACATGAACATGTATATACAAATTTTACCGATAAATTTATTAGAAAAACCTACTACATACATGAAATAGTCTTTCGATATATATAAATATATTCAAAACTTATAGTGTTCTCAATGATTTACTATTATTTCAATGACCATTCATACAAAAGCTCTTTCTTTAAAAATGATCGCCTCGTTTTTCCATTTAACATCGGGCTCGATGCTATGTGATGTTCTAGAAGCTTCCGTCAATATTAAGATCGGTGAATGACGAAAATAATTTGCAAATTTCCCTCTTTAGTGGGTTATCACAACTTATTTCTTTTATATCATTTAAATCAAGTTTTGATTGAATAATTCAGTGATGACGTTTAATAAAATAAATAAATGATTGCTTGTTGTCAGTTTCATTAAAAATTGCCAGTATCTTAGATCCGCCAACCGGAAACGCCACCGTACTCACGCTTTTGCTATTTCACTATTTCATGGCTGTTTATAGAAAATAAAAGTAGACTTTTAATTTAATGTACGATACTGACTATGCGAGTGAAATCTAAATATAGTTTACGGACATCATCTTGTATACAGTGTATTCTTAGAGGAGTAAGTAAGAACTCTGGTGCAGCCGTTTCGGAGTTTATTTGCAAAATTTATTAATTTATAAGTATAGATTTTTATTAGAGTATGAGTGAATGATTGATCAATTGTATGTTGTTTTAGGTCCTGTTAGAGAATTTGCATTCATATATAGACATATGATTAGTAATTATCATCCTTCTATTTTCAAGCGCCCGCGTGGCGCAGTTGTTTCACAGGGACTTTTTCGTTTGCGAAGTTTGGGAAAATTAGCCTGGTAGGATAGCTACTCGCTTTTTCTACTGTAATGCTTAATTGGCAAAGAGAAACAATTCCGATTAAAGTTGAAAGATGTTTATTGTAGAGTCAGCAGATAGAAAGTGAATTTTATAAAAGTTGTTACACAAAAAATCATAATAAAAAGGTACAAGTCATTATCGAATAAACAATGCCAGATATGTAAATAACTTCTGAAGCAATCTGTAGCGAAACCCGCTAAGAGAAGGTACTATTACTGGAACAGCTAACAAAGATCGATCTGTTACGTGAAATCAGTCATGCATAGCGCTTACAAAAGCTTTTACCGTTACAAAAGTTAAAAATCAAAAGTAGACCATAAAATCAGAAAACTTACAAACATTAAACTCCAAAGACAATGTTTACAAAACTTCGGGAAAATTTAGT